TTGTTGTTGTTGTTAAGTGCCATCGAGTCGGTTTCGACCCATAGCGACCCTGTACAGGTATATATATAGATAAAAGTTAGTCGATTTCTATAAAACATGTGAATCTTTCCAAATCAGACTAAAGTCATGATACACTTAGGACTAACAAAAAGGGTAAGATATTTTCATAACAGTTAGATACACATAAGGAAGACACTACAATGTCTGCAAAATCACTAAAATTCTTCCCTAAAGATTGGTTAATTACAAAGTGATTGAGTTAAACATGTTTTCCCCAAACAGAATTTTACAGGATTGAAAGCTGATATGGAAGTGAAAAGAAAGGAAAAATAAAATTACATTCTTCCTATGTCAGGAGGCCTCAGAACTATTTAGAAATATTCTGCCAAGCTAAAGAAATACTGACAGCTTTATTCAGCAGATTTAAAGGGTATCACAATCAACCCTGAGGATTTGTAATTCTTTCCTGTACCTTCAGGTCACTTCCTTCCTTCAAATCTCACTTTGAACTCTCCTCCTTTATCAAGTCTTCCCATTAACTGGGTTCAAGTCATTAATCAATGTCCTTTCCACTTAACTGACAGTAGTGTCCTTGATTAGCTCCGATACACTCCAGGTGTCTTATATGGGTTTCGCGGTCATAGTCGCTATCCTAATTCTACCTGTTGTTACTGGTAAGTACCATCCATTTGGTTCTGACTCCTAGAAACCCTGCAAAGCGTCGATGTTGTAGCTAGCAGTCCAAAGCTTATCCTATAGTGCCATACCAGGCTTTCTTAAAACTGCTTGCTCCTATAGTTAAACTTTCAGCTAGTTCTTTCATTGAGTATAATGGAAAACACTTACCTAATACTTGCTTTGTGCCACCAGTTCTAAGTCCTTCAGATAAATAAACAACAACAAAACCCTAAGATGTACTGTTTATCTGTACCAACTGGTATTATAAGAACGTAACATTTTTTATTTATTCATAAGTTCTGAAAAAGATACTGTGGTTGAAATTTCCATTTTACAGAGAAGTCAGGCACAGCAAGGTCAAGAAATTTACTCAGTCAGACGTCTGTGTCAGAGACGTGATTTGAATTCAGGTAGCCTGGCTCCCAGGTTTGTACTCATAAATACACTACAAGATTATAATCTTTTAGAGAAGGAACCATGTCTTTATTTATCAGCCTCAGAAAAGAACTAATTTCGGATTAGTGTAGTGCCAAACGATCATTGTAATAGACCCTCTCTCTCTATTGTCACTATGATCTACATTACCTCACAAGGGAATTACTGTGGTAAAACCCACTGATAGAACCGCTTCAACCCAACCTCATTATCCTGGTAAGTTCCCCTCCTTCTGCTGACTCGAAATCAATGGTCATCTCCACAGTCTGACTAGGAGACTATGGGCACTATTCCCACTATGCCTCATCTCAGGAGACGCCTCATCCTTAGTCAGCTCAAATTGACCCAGTGAAGTCACCCCAGGTATCATAAAGGAAGGCTAATTGCTGCTATTGCTGAGGCTCTGTGGAATGTCCTTACAGAAATCCACCAGGTATGTGTCCCAGGGGTTCTGTCTCTTCTTACACTTACATGCTGCACATAGTATATTTTGCAAAAGACACATTAGCACTTTTATATGACATTGGAATCCAATCACTTTCAAATGCAGTCTTAGCAGAGAAACTTACCCTGATCACCCTTTCTAAAACGTGACCCCTAGTCCTCTGCCCTCCATTTTCTTATCTGACCTCATCTGCCTTGATAGCTTTGTCATCACTGGCATTTTATACATCTGCTATTTTCCAATCTCCTTCTACTATAGTAAACTCCATAAGGGCAGAGATTAAGAACAGTGCCTGGCACAGAAAAGGTGTCAACACGTATGACCTGTACTCCAATTCACCTAGTCAAGCAGCTAAGGCACAGGTCTGATCACGCAGTACCATAGCTAATGCTTCAGTTCCATCTTAGATGGCATCGGCTTTAATGAATCTTTCTATAACTTCTTCTTTACTACAATTGTTTCTATGTTTCCATTATGCCATTGTGGATAACAATATAGGTACTACAGTCTAGTAGAGTTAATTTTGAATATAGGTTATGAATTACAAAGCATTAAGAGGAGACTTTTGTAGCTAAGGAATTAAGTTTATTAGCTCAATTTGGATGATTTCATGAATATATATAAACTCAACAAATTGTGAGGTTTAAATATTTGCATTTTATTTTATATCAGCTATATCTTAATAAAAGGAGCTCTAGTAGCTTAATGGTTATGAATCGGGCTGCAAACCTTAGGGTCAGCAGTTCGAAACTACCAGCCACTCCACAGGAGAAAGATGAGGCTTTCTGCTCCTGTTAAGATTTACAGCCTCAGAAACCCTGTACAGTGTCTCTATGGGTTGGAACCGACTCAATGGCACTTAACAACAACAATATATCTTAATAAAGGAGCTCTTCTGGTAGTGTAGTGGTTATGAATTGGGCTATTAACCTCAGGGTCAGCAGTTCGAAACTACCAACTGTTCTGCGGGAGAAAGATGAGGCTTTCTGCTCCCATAAAGATTTACAGCCTCGGAAACCCTATACAGGGGTCGCTATGTGTCGGAACGGACTACACAGCACACCACCACATCTTAATAATGTAATAATTAGATAATTCTAGGGAAAGGAGGGTAGAAATGGATTGAAGGAGGAAAAGATTAATACCAGACAGAAAAGCTAACAGTCTATTACATTAGTCCAAGAAAGAAGAGAGAGATTGAATAAATCAGAGGAAATGTCTCTATCCATATTGATCAGTTGGGTTAATAGTCTCATCTACTTGGGATAAGGAGCTCTGATAGCGTAGTGTTTATGAGTCGAGCTGCAAACCTCACGGGTCGGCTGTTCGAAACTACCAGCTGCTTCATGAGAAAGATGAGGCTTTCTGCTCCCATAAAGATTTACAGCCTTGGAAACTCTATGCAGGGTCGCTATGAGTCAGAACCGACTCTACAGCATACTTCCACCACCACCACCACTTGGGAAAAAGTATTGGACCACAAGGTTGGTTTGAACCACAAGGTCAGTAGTTCAAACTCATGTTACTCCTCGGATACCCTATACAGGGTTGCTATGAGTTGGAAGTGACTTGATGGCACTCAACAATAACAACAACAATCTTTATGGAAACAGTTAACCAGGCCTTTATTCCAACACAGGTAGAGGGAGGATATGAACAGCCGATCTGTATGTGTTTGTTGTTATTAAAGTGCCGTTAAGTTGATTCCGACCCATAGGAGCAGCTGGGGAGCGTTCTTAAATCACTAACCTTGCAGTTCAAAGGACTTTGCAGTCTGATGCATTAGTCCACAGCACCACAACAGGACTCCTGAAGCTTGCTACAAACCAATTGTGCTCCTCATGTTCCTCATGAAAAGGTTATGTGTTGTAAAATCAGAAAATTTTTAGTTTTTTCCTGATCTCTTTTGTAGCACGGAGAAAAGATGAAAATTAAA